GATAAAATGAAGTGATGGTCAGTGTGGCTCTTGAAAATGTCTTATTCCAAACACTCCATCGTTCCAACGTTCCATTTCAAACTATCGTCAATGGGTACCTTGCACATCCATTAGATTGGATATTAATTTAAACTTGATTCTCTCGTGTAAGAGATAATTTGAGCCAATGCCTTAAATGTCACATTTTGATCTAAACAACTGATTTAACTCCTTACTACTGGTATCGTGCTCACTAAATATCTTAATAGACGTAGAAAGCATCCGCCAATCTACGGCATCTATAGGAGAATAAATGTTAAACAACGGATATTCATAATTATATAACTCATTAAATTCATGAATGATGATCTCTAGTCCGTCCGTCAAAGAGCATAAGGCAAAAGAGGCCTATACTTAGGCAATTACCTGAGCCCTTTCGACCTTCCTTTTGATCTTCGATTATGGTAATCTTCCTCCGAAGTTCGTCCAGAGTAACTCCGGACCCAGAAGATTCTCGAAATCATTTACGTAAAGGGTTAGAGGTTACACAACAGAGTTCCTTTGAGCTGTTACATCAGCTTCTTCCAGGGAGCAGTCAATACTCCGACAAACACACGCACAACAGGTTCAGCTTGTTTACCGTCGTTTATCACAACTCCATTAACGAAAGCTCAGAGTAATAAATTATGATTATCTGGTCAGCTAGTAGTAAAATGAAAATTTCGAGGGTTATTTATGTTTAAATGACAACGGTTGGATAGACATCGTTGAATTTACTTACATAATTTTGAAACTGATGTATTTTTTCTTTTTAGTGTGTTTTATGATCACAAAAAAAAAAAAAAAAAATGAGTCTTGGAAACGACAGAATATCAATATATATTTACAACTATATTCTAATAATTTCAACTGCCAAATCCTTAGTATTCGAATAAACGAAATATTTTTGGTTTAATAGATAATAAAACAATGCTTATTTTTTTTTTTTCAATTCTAGAATTCCTTTAGCAAAAATCATAACAAATCATTATAAAAGGACCTCATTAAATATATTGTAGTATCTAAGTTTTATGATTTACAGAAACTGGCTAGTATTCATTATTCTATTAGGTACATAAAAGTTGAAATAAAATTGTATAAAACGAACTTTTCTCAATTTCAATGAAGAAAGGGCGTACATACATACATATATATATATATATATATATATATATATATATATATATATATATATATATATATATATATATATAATAAAATACCTTTTTTTTTAAGTGCAGTGGGAAAGAGAAAGTCAAATGAATCTAGAAGATAAATGAGTGAGAGTAATTCCTCATGACTAAGCCCTTAACGGATATACTTTCTCGATAATATCAATACATCTCCAAGAATTCCATTAAAATTTAAATACAACACTCATCAATTTAATGCTGAATAAGTTTTCTATAAATTTAGACATCGTTGAATTTACTTACATAATTTTGAAACAGATGTATTTTTTCTTCTTAGTGTGTTTTATGATCACAAAAAAAAAAAAAAAAAATGAGTCTTGGAAACGACAGAATATCAATATATATTTACAACTATATTCTAATAATTTCAACTGCCAAATCCTTAGTATTCGAATAAACGAAATATTTTTGGTTTAATAGATAATAAAACAATGCTTATTTTTTTTTTTTCAATTCTAGAATTCCTTTAGCAAAAATCATAACAAATCATTATAAAAGGACCTCATTAAATATATTGTAGTATCTAAGTTTTATGATTTACAGAAACTGGCTAGTATTCATTATTCTATTAGGTACATAAAACGCTGAAGTTGAAATAAAATTGTATAAAACGAACTTTTCTCAATTTCAAGGAAGAAAGGGCGTATATATATATATATATATATATATATATATAATAAAATACCTTTTTTTTTAAGTGCAGTGGGAAAGAGAAAGTCAAATGAATCTAGAAGATAAATGAGTGAGAGTAATTCCCTATGAGTAAGCCCTTAACGGATATACTTTCTCGATAATATCAATACATCTCCAAGAATTCCATTAAAATTTAAATACAACACTCATCAATTTAATGCTGAATAAGTTTTCTATAAATTTAATACTTGTAACTATAAATAATTTTTTAAAAAATGATAGACATGAAATAGCATGTTTGTGTTTCACCCATGTCACTAAAAAGTATTAGCAATTCGAAAGACTTCTATGTAAATCCTAAGTACCATAAACATGTTATGAAAAAGTAGTAAATTGGTTTTGGTCAGGTCTTAAAGGCAGAAATGGCCAAATAATACTCCAAGTAACGAATACCGAGTATGTTATTATCTTGCCCTTTCAGAGTACCGAGGAATTTAATTAATAATTCAGTCCCAGTGACTAAAGTAAAAGTTGACTAAAGGGTCGTTATTCGTCCACTTCTTCAAGAAGCTCGAAACTAAAAGAGCTCTTGCTCTTTTATATGTCTCGACAAAAAAAAACTCATTTTTTTATAACAATTATAGAAAATAATTCGATTGTGATTTTATTTTTTATTAAAAATTATTTTGCTTAATTTATGGAAATATATAATTCTTGTATTTCAGCTACTTAGTAGAACGAGACAGACATATTTTGCATATATTTCCACCATATGCCATTGCAACATGACAGTCAATGGCACGGTCCATTTTCCAAGGTGATCCACATGCAAATACAAGGTGACATACTTGGCCGAATACTAACGATAAATGGTACAAATAAATAATGGACAAGCAAGAGAATGTTTAGAGACTTTAGTGCAGAGATTTGATTTTGTATTACTGAATCACAATCTTGTTGAAGTGGATTTTAATAAACGTTATCTGATTAGAATCCAACATATTAAGCCTCCTCCAGTATAGATAATTGTATGGAAGCGTTTTATAACAATATTATCGGGCTAGTTTATCAATAGCAACACAACGTTTGCTTTAATGCATGATCTACAGATAACCTATGTACTATATTTATAGATATTTTATTTTTTCAGAGATAATTTTCATTTTAGAATTAAAGTTTAAAAAAATCAGCTATAACATCTATTGTCTTGCTCCTGAAGTCCTTGCCAGAAGCATATGTAGACAAATATAATAAAGCAATAAGAATTCATATCGATAACAAATACTTAATATTATCACAGAAGTGGTATACTGTTTCTAGGACACGAATTTTTTTTAATTCTCATTAAAAAATATATTTGTTGAAAGATGTAGTACATAACGAAATAACTTAAAAAAGATTTTTGTATCCATTTATTCATCACATTTATTTTGAGCTTAAAATCTACTTTTTCGAAAACAATAGGTGTTATAAAAAATGATTACTTGGCTAGGACGAAGCATTGCTCAGTTAACTTGAAGTTAGTAATTTGCAGTTTAAAAATCGAAGACAACTATAAAATATCACGAGTGCAATTAAATCTGGTGTGTTAAAGCATTTCTGTAATGGGAGAGATATCGTAGAGGTAAAACCAAACCTATTCTAATCAGAGGATGAAAGCCGATATTTCGATTTATTCCACGGATACGCCACGAAATAAATAAGCACAATGCATCTGCTTTTGTAGCAGTTGACTTGGTTTCCCTGACCAGCTGCGTAAGGAAGGTTTGTACTCTCCAGATACGCAGTCTTCACATACATCCCCCCAACCCTGATGACACCGGCCGAAGCGATTCGAGCAAAGACAATGGTGCGGCCTTGCTCCAGTTGCGATGACACTGAGGGTGATACAATAAGAAGACTGGTTACACAACACAGTCACCGGGAAGGACTTGGGCCGGTCGACCACGCCTCACTTTCTCCGTTCTAGAAAGTGCCGGCTCTACTTGCAGGGATCTCTCTGGTACGGGTATCACCAGCCCAGGAACAGCGGGGGTGTTGTCTCGAGAGGAATCTTCATCTTTTCCTTCTTTAGAGAGAGAAAGACGCAACAATCTCAGTTACTACATTATACTATTTTAAACATTATTCAAGGATTGCTATTAGACATAAAATAGATTAAAAATATATATAACGAGAAAAAAAGAGTAAAATAGCTAATAATTAAATAAGAACCTTAAATACCTCTAACATCAATAACTTGACTTCTTATCACCTTTTTTTATATCCGATCCGTTCGAAAAAAAATTTAGAGCTGTAGATAAAAGAGAGTATTTAAGTTCTTTATGTACTCCAATTAGGATAGAAAGGACAGGTTCTCCGATCTGCGACCAAGCTATTCAGGGCAAAGGACAGAGGTAGAAGGTCAAAACTTATTTTATAACAAAAAAAATGGCAATAATTTACTTCTTCAAGCCGAAGAAATAAACAATTGACTCGTTAGGCAATGCGAAAAAAATTCGTCTTAAGTTAAACTTTTAAAAATTTATTGGATGATACAATTTATTAAATTAGCAGCTTGGGAAAAAAATAAGGGACTAAGCTTTATATTCATTAAAGGATTATTATTTTATATAATATGGAATAATTTGAAAATTTCTAATTTTATATTACTACTTTAACTAAAATTTTAACTGCCTCATTATATCGTGTATCTCGCATAAAATAGTACTTCAGTTACTCTAAAGATCTTAAAGCAAACTTATATTAACGAAATAAGAAAGTGATGGCGGAACACGCTGAGAAGTGGGTCCCAAAATTCTCGATTCTGAGCGGTAGTAGGTTCGATTCCCACAAGGGTTGGTTAATATTCATTTCTTGGCAATCTCAGGAAATGGATCTTTACACTCCCACTCTTGTAAGAACGCAGCGCCAACCTCTGATTAGTCCTCAAGGGTTGGGAAAAAGGACTACAAAATCCACTAGTAGCAATACCAGTACCAGTATATTATCTAAAACTATTTTATGTCTGTGAAAATTGAATTAATTTCCTATTTCATAAGGATTTGAGTTGGCAACAATTTAAGATATTTAAATTTATTATTAGTATAATATACCTTTAATTGCAAACGACCTATCTTAAAAAGTACTAGGAACTACTCCTAAATTATGTTTTAGGTTATTGCTTAAAGGAAGTTCAAGAAGATCCATGCAAGACGAAATCGAGGATAGTACCCGATGCGACGTATTGCGACCGATACTGGGAATGCCAGGACGGTCAGCCAGAACTGTACGACTGCCCCAACGGGTTAGTCTACGCCGGCAAGAACAGGGGAGTCACCGAGGGCTGTGACTACCCATGGAGGGCCAACTATTGTGAGAGCAAGACGCAAGCCAGTAAGTAGTATATTTATTTATTTTTAAGGATCAAAGGTGAAAAGTTATTTTAAAGATCTACATAAATTTCTGTTGTAAAACATATCTTCGGACTCAATATGAATCCAAGAAAAAGAAGAAAAAAAAGTATTTTATTAATTTATTTTTCATACATTTTATTAACAACAATACAACCGTTGAAGGCCGAGGTAGCGTAAGTCAAAAACTGAGATATGAGATAATATGAGAGTTCTGCGAAGGTAAGTATGACATCTTAGTAAGAAATAACATGTTACTTAATTTTGTTAAAAATATTAATAAGTATATCCAATAATTTAAAAACAAATTTAAAAAAGTAATTAATTTATCATTTATTATGAAAATGCATTTTACCATAAGTGAGAAATCTTTTTATTGTTAGAGACCCCAGTAATATTAGGCATTGCTAATGGGGGCTACAACAATTATTTATATTTTATTGTTGCTTATTTTATTTATCACTAAATACACATACACATATTCAACTTAATTCTATTGATTTCAAAATTTGGGTTACTTAATTCATTATGTATTAATTAATTCTAGCTCTAGATTAATAAATATCGTGCAAAAACGTTTGGAGGCCGCAAGTACGTCAAGGAGGCGGCAGATTGTCCACTAATGTCTTATACCAATTTTGCATTTAACAACTCAATAGTGAATCTTTCCTACTCTATAGTAACTATATTACAGTACTTACTGATACCTCAATATGGGGGAAAATTTAAATTTGTAAACTTTTTATTTAGCCTTACTAAAAAATTGAGGTTTGTCAAATACCTGGTTGAATAATTGGAAATCACAACTCTTTAAATATAAAATTACTATTTTTTATTTAATTGTATTAAAATAATGGTCAGAGATATGAGTTAAAAATTTTCAAACAAGAAAAATAGTTCACAACAAAATTTTATCAAGAATGTAGCTGAGCTATCAATATCCGGATTTGAACAATATTGAAAAAGTTCTGTATCAACTTCGATAAATTTTTGTAAATAATGAAAATGATTAATTTAAGTTTTTATGGAGATGCAGATTTAAGTAATAATAATTAATAAAAAAAATAAGCATTATTTATTATATTTATAGAAATATAAACAAAAGATTAAAATGTATATTCTATACTTTGGATATAAAAAAAATTAAAAATACAATATATTTAACATTCTGTGTGTACTTTAAATTGTTATTTTTTCTTAATTGTAAAATATGGATGTTACCCAGATGAAGAGGCGAAAACATTTCAGTATTCAACCTCGAAATGTAGACTGAATAATAAACAATATTTGAGAAATGAATATTTATAAAAAAATTATTTATTAATCGTTTTATCTTTTATAAACATACAAATATAAATATTATATTCTAACGGAATATTTGATTTAAATAAAGTCTGCTTACTCTATCTATTCTGGTCAAACAAGTTGTGTTACTAATTATTATAAAAAGGCATTTTATTATTGCAAACCACAGACCAAGTTTTAATGATTATAATATCATGATAATTAAAATATAATTACTTAAACTGTCTCATTTAATTTATTCTTAATTTATGCAAGAAACCAATAATAGAATAATTACCATACAAAAGATATTTAATGCTTCAAAGTAAATTTAGAACGAAATTGTATTCGACCAAATTATGTAATTAAGTCTAATAATGAATAACAAAATAATTAATAGCTTCAGGACTTTAATAAACGTTTTCCCTTATATGGCACGGAAAAGTAACGAAGCTTGACCGGTAAAAGTTATAGAAAGGAAACAGTTACATGGTTGCTAACTACGGGATATTGGCCAATGGATAGTGAAAACTGGATTATCCAGGGTAACTTCTTTACGTTGTAAACACAGATAGTACAAACCAGTATATAAACAAAATATACTCAACACGTAAATGACAGTATAGACGTCAAGGAGTCAATCTCAAGTAATAATGATATTGACAAAGAAATATTATGTTGTCAAAAAAGTAATTAAAAAATAAAATTTATAATATATATCACAGATTATTGATCGAAATCGTTACAATCAATTTTTTTTTTCTGTTGGTATTATGGAATATGTAGATCTTTTGCCGCCTTAACAAGCCTGCTCCATCCCTGCCTGTCATGGGCTATTTCTTTCCATTTATCTGCACGCAGTTGATACAATCTATCCATCTGCTTTTTGTCCTTCCATGTGATCTTTTGCCTTCTATTGGAGCATTCATTGTTACGTAGAAGCTTCCAGATGGATTACTACGAGCTACATGCCCCGCCCATCTTAACCTCCTTGCCTTTATATCATGTGTAATTAATGCATTATTGGAAAATAATTATATTTTAAAAAATTAAGTTTATTAATTTTAATTTTTAAATCATTAATTGATACAAATCCATTTTTACACTGCTATCAAAACTTCCTCTGATCTCATCGAAAGAAACCCTTTTTGAAAAATAAGAGTGTCAATGAAAATACGTTTCAGCATCCTTAAGCGAGCGCACATTTTAAGAAATTTGATAAAATGTATTATAATTTCTTGATCAATTTCTAACTTCCCTCTAACTTTGAGCCAAATTTAACATGCGGTTTATGAAATGAAGGCGAATAAAAGAAAATATATTTGCGTATAAGTAAGAGCAACTTGAGGATATAATTCGATAAAATTGATACAGTATCATTTGACCACTAGATGACAATTGTTATCTAATTTTGATTTTGAGCCTATTTCGAAACATAGGTCTCCCTAAGAAACTAGGAAAGTAGCATATGAAATTTCTATTATAGGCACCAATCAGCAAAGTCTTTGAAAACTTCATGAAAATCGAATGAACGCTAGTAAGTGGTATGCTTGTTATATGGTTTGACTACAGGCAAACTAACATAGAACAAAGTTTCTTCCAAACAGAAAATAAACTAGGCATATCGATTCCTTCATCTGGACAACCGCAGAACTTCTCATTGTCAGTATTTTGTGAAAACTACCCTTTTTACTGTACAATCTTACCAACAAAAAAAATTAATCGCTGCTAACAAAACATATAAATAAAAAAACACTATATATCATTTATCATTCATCCACATTACATATAGCTAATGTAAAGAAATATACTTTCACAAAAAGTCTTAATGCACCTTATGTAAAAGATAGTTACATACTAAATCATTCTATCATTCTAAAACTAAAAGTACTTCATCATTGAAAATGTTGCATTTTAAAAGGTAAATTAATATTTCGCATAAATTGAACCACATCAATACGATCAGACATATTTGTATTCAATATTTAATTTTCGATAACCTTCAAGTGTTGTTTTTATCTCAACTAGCTGAAATTTTACGTTTACTAAGAATTGGGAATGAAATATAATAAATTGCTAATTTCTTTGTTAATTTTTATTTTTATAATAGCAGCAAGAGTTTCCACTTTTTAACCATGATTTATTTGTCATTGTCTCTTAAATTTAATTATTTCTAAATATCGTGAACCACAAACAATTAAACTTATCGAGACATAACAGGGCCAAAACAATATTTGTCTATTTGATAAGATCTTTGTTTGGGCACACAATGAAATTCGTGAATCATGATGATCCTTCATGATCGAAGATTCAATAGAAAGGAACAGGAAGACCTTCGAATATAGATGATAAACATGAATGTTGTCGCAAAAACATCCTGCTATACTGGACTCTCAGGAAAAGTCAAGGATTTCGTTACCATCCTAACGGAATTCCTTCGGGATAAAAATACGAAGAGGGTGTAAACTAATAAATTATGAAGTTTATATTTACAGTTATCACGTTTAATGGAAAATAGCCCTATTAAAAATCTACAATTAATCGTTAAACATCCATTTACTGGTTTTACATTCGTTACTTCAATTAAAAGAATTCGACAAGTAATAAATATGGAGTTTCATATCTATTCAATGTATGGAGGTATTAGAGTTAGGTTTGTCCCAGAAAAAAAATGTTCCCTTGAGTATATTATTTCATTTTTTTTTTTTTTTTTTAATAAAATGGTTGGTCGTTTATCTGGATATCGTTGGTCTGAATCTCCATACAATCCGGAGGACAAGGATTTTTATTTTCATGTACATAGATGCATCTTATAGAACTATTCCTAATATTACCAAGACATATTTCAAATCAATGAAACGTTTATCTAAATTTTAAAAAGTTTAAAATTAAGAGAATATTTTTGTTGTACTAGTAGCTGACACTATTTGATTTGAAATGTTACTACAGCCGATAGAGATTAGTAAACGTGCGTAATTGAGGGAAATTTCATGTTTTTCACTTTAAGATTAACAAAAATTACCTTTAACTTATTAAAAAACTAACTTCTGGCGTTTCCCAACATAAATTTATCAATAAATGCTGGTCAGTGTCAAGAACCTGTTTTTGGCAATAGGAAAATCTATTTTCGCTTTATATTTAATCTAAATCATTAACAATTTTTTTTAACTAGACAGTAATGAATGGTCCCATTTAAGAATTCATGTGAGTACAGGCCTGTCCTCCACTCCTGACAAAAGTCCCCATTAAAAGGCTCCAGTAGCTGACACCCATTAAATATCCAATTCCTTCATCAAGATAAGTTAAAAAAAAGAGATAAAAAATAATTTTAAAAAACTCCAAAAAACAAAAATGTTGGGATAAATCTGATTAGTTAAAGAGAAAAAGGCCAACCTAAGATATGGTGATCTTACTGACGGATGGTTGTTCCTGGGAGACAGAGTAAGTTGACCGCGAGGGACCTTCCTAATTCGCCACTTATTATTTCGGTTGCAATTTCCGGTAAGTCTAAAAAAAAGCTGACAAAAATACAAGGAGAAAATATAGAAACTAAAAATATATGAAACAGAGGTATAGGAGGTCGTGAAGTATTATTATTCCCATTTTTCGAGGAGGGTATATTAAAGCATTGGTACACTGTCAGATACTGCTGGTTTTATCCTATAGTAAAAACTCTCAGAGAAACTCTCTCGGACTGGATTGGAACTACTTGGGGACCCGGATTCGGTCAACGGGCCGTCGTTTGGAGACCCCTCGCTTAATCTATTAAAGATAAAGCGTTCGTGTGACCACGCTTCATGCAAACGTCACACGAGTTAGAAACAGAAATTTGGGGACCAACTTTTTGTTGAGAAATAATAAGAAAAGTTATTTATATATATTTCTTACTGTTTTTTTGTTACAAAACAGTGTTTATCACGTGATAAACGGTGTCAAATAATTCTAGGATATTCTGCATATAATTCTAGGATATATTGCATTTTGTTCGAGTCAGTCCAAAAAAACAAGGTTGTACTGTAAATGTAAATAAGTCTAAAATAAAACAGTTGAAAATGAATTGTCCTAACTACTTATTAGTACTAAAGAATCGTTGCCTAAGAAATATTATATACCAGGCCGCAGGATATATTTACTAAGAACAAAACAAAGCCAACCCAGCCCCACCCTCATTGCTTCATAGCATGTCCCCACGCTAGGACTAATGCATATGTATATCATCGATGTCAAAACTGCATATAAAGCACATGTAGCCGACTGGGAACCAGCAATCATAGCGGTTGCACGAAAGTAGCGATAATTTTAAGACAAGAGTTTAAGCGACCTTAAACGGCTATTGTTGATGATCTCTCAAGTAATTTTACATTCATCTTTCGGAGAAGAGCCTTACTGAACAATAGATTTCATAATTCCTTCACCTACTTTTTGCGTACAGGTCGTTTGCAGTTTACTGTTGATTCGTGTGGAATATGAGTTAATGACTTATTTATGAACATTAGTGGATAGATAGCCTGTAGAATGATGTAAACCAAAATATTTAAACATGAAAATAATTAAAATTAATTTAATTTTCCTTAACTTCTATAGAATCTTGTTTTATTGTTTAAAAGGTTCATTTTTTCTTATAATATAATCACGTTACATTTTAGAGACTTTCTGTTACAATATAATGAGAAATTTATCTATTACTTTTAAATAATAACAATAATCATTAACTGCTACTAAAGCTATTTACTTTATATGAAAAAATTTAAACATGAGAGGAAATCAAATATCTGCTGTTCACAAAGTTCGATTCCCAACTGGGTAGTTCAATATTTAGTTCTCGGCAGCCCTGAGAAATGAATCTTGACACTCCTACTATGAACGCGGGGGTATCCTCAAGATAACCGTTAGGGGGTTGGCAAAAAGGATCAGAAAGTCCACTTCCACTTGCCAGACTAGTTTCTCCCGTCAGTAACAGGAGCAGCACCTGCTAATTGTATAAGCGTCTTATCTAACAAAACTTTTATATAAATGTATATATATATATATATATATATATATATATATATATATATATATATATATATATATATATATATATATATATATATATAAATTATTTAACTTGGTAAAAAATAAAATATATCATTGTTCTACTTCTTTTTCGATATTCCCTCAAATGGTAAAGTTCGGAATTAAAACTGTAAGATCCCCAGACCTCCTCAGAGTTTAATCGATAAGTCGATAGGGTTTGGACAGATCTGCTTCTAGATGTCCTCCAGCTTAGAGCATGTCTGAAAGATATGATCTGTGTTTTGGTTCTCCTTTCTGCAAAAGGCTTTCTCCAATGTTATTTTATTATAAAGGTACGATCTCATCCTGTTAGTATCCATTCTGAGTCTTAAGAGAACATGCTCATTCTTTTTTTTATAGTAGGTATTCCAGTCAAAATTTCTTGGACCTTATGCAGTATTTCTGCCTATTTTATAGAAATATAGGCAATAATTCTATAAATATATATTAATAGAAATTTCCTGCAGGAGAGTCATAATCGAATTAACCTTAAGGGGGTATAATTTCATTTGCAAATCGGCCAGTAGTTCGCAGTGCTCGGATATTCACTGAAGTAATCTTTAGTACTGGAGTCGGAATTTGCCAAAAATTTCTGCAAAAGTGGGAATCCCACATTTTTATTTAGGCTAAAGGGATTCCCATTATTATAGCACTGATGCCATATTCGACGAAATTAATATTTTGGAGTCTGGATTCATTTTTAATCGCTTTATTGTTCTGTTTCCCTCTAGGATAGCCTCTTATTCAGCTTTTAAATTGGTATAAAACACTTTGGGACGGGTTTGTTTATGGTTGGGATTATATACATATTTCTATTCTTCCGTTAGCGGTGGCATACATTGGTGGCATCCAGTATTTCACATGCAGAATCTTCAGGCTCATGGGCTCCATTCGCATATCCTCATCTCAGCGGCTTTATCAGACCATCATCCCACACTTTGTCAAATGCCTTTTCGAACCCCATCCATGTGTGTGAGTTCCTGTCTTTTAAAGCTGTCTTCAATCTCCTGTGTGATAAAGGCAACATGGTCTTTATTGGACATTTTTTTTCGAATCTTGCATTCGCTGTTATATTTGTAACTATACCAAATGAATAAGAGAATTATGAATTGTAAGTATTCATCAATGAATCTTACGAATATGATTCATCTATGACAAACAAATGTGGACCAATAGATTTGTCTTCTCATTCTCTTAGCTTGGAAAAAGAGATACGAAAAGTTTTTTTTTTTAGGAACCCCATATTGCCACACGAGCGGATTTGTTTTAGAGTTTTTTTTATACCGCCCACAGACATGACAGATGGTCACGCCACAGATATTTTTCAATATTTGATTTAATAAATATTAGGAATGAAATTATACCATACATTGGTAAATTTCAAACATAAATAGTGTACGTCTTTAGCGGTCATTCGCACTTCACAACTTTAATATCATCAATTGACTAAATATGCCCGCTATTTATGGAAATATGAAGATAGGTTTGAGACTTATTTAGTAAAATTATTTAATGCAATAAAAATTATACATACATATGAATTCATCTACATTATTATAGATGTGTAGATGTCTATTTATATTTATCTATAGATGTCATTTGCTTCTACGTCTCTGACTACAGGACGTCTATAGACGTAATTTGTGTCAAAAGGTTAATTGAGATATAAAAACGGTTAATATGATTTTCCAGATGGACCAATCGGAAGGGAGCATTGCGATTGGCTCTACGGAATCTTCGGGCATGAAACCTCATGCACCAGATATTGGACATGCTGGAACGGTACGGCAACCGAACAGCTCTGCATAGGAGGGCTTCTCTACAACGAGAACACCCACTCCTGTGACTGGCCAGAGAATGTCGACGGCTGCCAGAAACATCGTAAGTAGTTATTATTATTATTAATAAAACAAAAAAATTTAAATTACACACTAGTGTAACTGAAACCCAATCGACCAGGAAGGAAAGAGACTCGCAGGAATTAATTACATTCTAATTTCTAACTTACAGTTGAACTTTTTTAATATTACCAATATTATTAAAAAAAGGATACTTTTCAAAAATATGACAATTTTCACGATTGAGTGAAAGTATATACAAAGGTTGTATAGGAATAAGCAACCTAGAACAACCCTGGAGAAAGTTGACAGAAGTTATAATTGGGTTATGTGAAATTTTCGCACCAGTCTATAAATATCAACATTTTATCTTATGTACTCTTTTCGAGATGTAACCTATAAGGAATCTTATGTGAGTAGTGTCTTTGCAAAAGGTTTCCTTCTTGCGTAAGATACATAGTCGTTAAAACTCAGATTTTCACCTATTTTACCTATTCGCCACTGCTTTAACTTATATAGACCCTTTCAATTTATTTGGAACAATTATTAATGTGAATTAAATACTTATTTTATCTTTTACATAATGAATAAAAACCATAGATCGAAATACATATATTTTTTCAATAATTGAGCTGGATAAAATTTCTAGAATTTGGAGAAATTATTAGCATTTCGTGAACTACGCCAAAAAAAATAAATAAAAAATATATATTATAAATAATAATAACGATGAAAGGTATACAATTTAAATTTTGACTTGTGACAATCATTAAAAGAAAACAAAAGTAAACAGTCCTCAAAAACTACAGTGTACTAGTCAGTATCAGTTATTACATATTAAGGATAATAAAAATGGCCAACATATTTAAATCTACTCAGCGTTTTAATTACATATTTTTAGCACTAGGGGACTTAAACGACTTTCACTCATGATCGGTTAGGAATGTGAAACCGGACTTATTTCTTTCTTTGTGTGTGTGTGCGTGTATGTTGAGAATCAGTAGGTCTAATTCGAATCGCCTAAGCTGTCCGCATTTGAATGAAAATTACATTCCGTAGATTTAAATACTTTTTAGACCAATTCAAATCATAATACCTTTGAAGTAACTGTAGTTAAAAGCATACTTACAAATATTTCTTATTACAAAATTAACACAAAAATAATATTATTCTAACATTATTTAATTAGAAAATGGAATACGATGTACAAATGCCTGTTATTAGAATTTAGTAAAACCATCGGAACATTAAATACATGTTTATCATTATCTTTGTTATCCCAATCTATATTTCAATTTTTGCATGGCATAATGCCTTTCATTACTATAACAGAGATATTACGAGAATATTAAAATTATAAAATTATTAATAACAATAAATATCATTGGGGAGTTTATTTTATTACTGATCACTGGAGAACCTACAACAGTACTCACATTATATCATCGGTTTATTGTAATTTACTGTAATTTCAGCCTAATTTTAATTTTTAAGCCATGATGATTTTCAAACTTAATTTTATCTTTAGTACTATTTTGTAAAATACAAAATAACCTCTCGCGTGACGAAACATTTTTTAATTGAACATTCAATACAATGTGTAAGAAAGATTCAAAATAGTATTGCCCAAAATTGGTCTTGCTCTTGCACTTTGAAATACCAAGACCAAGATCGCCTAACTGTTGCAAGACCAAGACCAAGTTTGGTAAAAAAAATCGTTTGTGTTAATAAAAATTATGACAAATTAGTCACTAATACTTGACAATTTTAGTTACTATATGTAAGGAATTGGTTAAGCCATTATACTTTTGCATTTAACTCTTCCAATTTTTCATTCGGGCTTAGTTAGATTTCCCCTATCTGAAAAATTACAATAATATTTCTATCGTAATAAGCTAATAGGTAACTGCAAGACTGTTGCGAGGCTCTTGCTTTGACCAAGTCTAAGACTGAGTGCGCAAGACCAAGACGCCTTGGTCTCGAATTTGGACAAAACTAATTCAAAATTATTTTAATAGAAATATCAGTGTTCGCCAAAACTGATATTTATTGAAAGATAAAAATAAGTTTTCATTTGCAGAAACATACCCAACGAATCAGAAGCAAGTGATGTGGTAATTCAATTAATTTTGTTAACACGTTCCGAACTTTAAATAATTGATAACAATTAATTACCTCAATAACTTTCACACTGTACCTGCACAATTAAAAAACAAATTAAAGAAAAGTGGTACTGCTGGATAAGTCTACCGTAAGAGATTATGCAATCAGTAATAATTCCGAAGATTTTTTTCGTAAATTATAAAAAGTTCGCAAAGATTTTTTGCCTACGGTTGAGATTATTGAGAACCAATTATACAGTATTCCCGATTATCAGCAATTTCCCTTTCATAATATCTTAAACGCTTTTAGGTTTTTTTTAACATTTCATTAATTTCGTAATCTTATTTTGTGAATATCCAATCAAAATTTATGTAACATCCATGATAATGATCAACGACCGGCAGGAAATGACTACTTTCTTCCTCATGCTTACGAACAGAAAATATTTTACGAATAATGAAGAATAAATTAAAACACCAAGCAGATATATTATATTATATATTAAATAATAAATTCAAAAATGCCTATAATAATAATAATATATAGTCTATGATATTTTTTAAAAACTTAGTGATTTATTAATAACCACACAATACAAAAGGGCATTAAATATTTTTCCTTTTAAAATTTAAATAAATATAAAACATAATAAATTTCACATTTTGGTTTAAAATTAATTCAAATCCCTTCTACAATAATTTTATCTCATATGTTGTCTGATAATCCAAAATGCAAACTAAGACATTTGCCCTGTGCCAATAGTTATGATAGTAAATAATAATCTATCTTTCTCTTGGGAAGTCAGTAATTGTGTTCAGGATTGAAAAAATAAAATAAATTGAACAAGTGTTCTAGGATTAAATTCCTTACACTGGGAGTTAAAACTCCTGTTGAAGGCTTTAATAACTTTCTGATTCTTAGGTCTTTAATCAGGACTTTTATTTTCTTTCAATGGATGCATTTCTCATCTCACCTTGTTTTTATATTTCTTAAATGCTTGGATAGTTCTATTCTTCTCTATTCCCTATTCCATTTCTTTATAATACTCATCATTCCTGTTGTAACTGCTTGGCATTTCAAGTCAAATCAGTCAGATCTTGGGTGGATTTTTCTGTTCCTATACTCCGTCTGTTGTTGACAAAGTTATATTGATTCCATCTTCCATTTACAATATTTTCACAAATGACCCAATTCCAAATTTTTATCTAGTCTCTTGACAACTGCTTCTCTACACTCAGTTTCATATCTTTTTTTTTTTTAGATAAATAAACACAAAATTTATTCTGGGACAAGGTCTCTTAAGAATAACATGTATATATAAATAAACAGAAACCACAGTTTCTGGCCATTGATCCTTTCCAAATTCGAGTTTATTGAACCATTATACAAGTTCTAGCTTGAATTCATGATACAACCTAATAATGGTCGCCATCAAAAATTGTCACCTCTGTAAGTTCTCACTAATTTTTGTCTCTTATAACATTGATCAATTTGTGTATTTTTCTTGGTTAATCTACTTGTCTTTATACATTTTTGAGGTTAAACATCTTGCTACCAACAACCATATATTGGAATGGTAAAATTAGTATTTATAAATAAAAACTTTATCCACGAATAATACTTTTTTGGCAATAATTTAAAAACAAACTGCATGGGTGGCAACTCTTGCTAAGAAAGGTTTCCTCCTCCTTTCTCTCAGAGTAGTTTCAAAGAGTCATGGGACACCATATAAATGAATTATAACATTGGGGATGTACTCTTTTTTTGGGTTTCAATCACAGCATATCTATTTCATATTTGGATTAAAATTGTTTAGCATCTGTAGATATGTGAGAACATAACTAAAATATAAAATAATTTTTATATTTTAAAATGTCCAGTAATAGAGTCCGGAAATCTGGTAGGTGACTTTAGAAGACTGCCAGATGAATGGCAACTTGATTCTTGAATTTTAATTTTGATCATAATGGATTAGAGATATTGTTTAGCATAAACGGTTTATAATAAACAGTGTCAAGCTCTTTTTTTTCAATATTACTTATTTTTCAATTAAAGCCACAAAAATAGCTTAGGGCAAGACAAGGTCAGTTTTCTTATAAAAACTCTTATGTTTTTCTAATAGCCTATACTTCTTAATGTTATCTTCATTGGTTTTATCTAAAACCGAGCATAAGTATAAGCATGTTATTTGAGCTGTATACAGTTACAACATTTCTAACAAGAACCAACCATATACATTGAAGAAAAAAATCTAAACTGGTAATAAACACTGCTTTATAAACTATTTGATAAATCTAATAGTTTAAAATTTATCATGGTCTAATAACTTCATAACTGATAAAATTTATACAAAACTTGGAGCTATGGAGTTCACCAAAAAGTCTAATTGCAATAGATTTAATTTTACTTTTCTAAATTACTGAAAAAATCAACAATTTATATATCCTATATTTTTTAAAATATTTGTTTTATTATATAATTCCAAATAGTTCTTACATTTCTGAAATATATATTTTTATTATTAAAATACCACATCTTTGATTAATTTCAGTTTAAAAATCCATTAATATTTCATGACTAAATATGACGATTGCAGTTGACATAGTCCAACCATTACGTAATGTTAATTAACTGGATTGTTGCAACATTGACTACATTTTTTTTATTTTTTTGGGAGAACTTTCTTCACCTCATTTTCTCTTTCATAATGTTGAGAGACTCAGCAACAAAAAACTAAGTTTCTTTTTTTTTTCCTGGAAATGAAAATTGCAATTGTCTGTCTCTTCCTGAATATGTTAGCTTATCATCATAATTATATAATTATTATCAGCACAATTATATTTGTTTTTAACTCGGGTTTTAACGAAGTATTCAGTTTTTATGTTTTATTTCAGCTTTGTGTAACTCAGAAGCTAATGGAAATGTCCCCTTGGGCAAGTCCTGCAATAGGTACTGGCAATGTCAAGGTGGGTACCCAAGACTTCAGAGATGTCCTGCAATGTTAGTATTTGACAAGAGGACTCTAAGATGTGTTGTGCCTCCAACTGAGGACTGTGAGGTGCCAACCACCATCCCTCCACCACTAGAGGAAGCAGAAGAACCTAATGTACCTCAACAGGTAATCTCATAAATTAACATTAAAAATTTTCAAAAAAAAAAAACTACAAAAAGAAACATGAAAAAACTGCTTATTTAAGACTGATTAAATTATTATCAAGTGGATTAAGAATTTTAAATTAGGAATTTTTTTAAAGTACAAACAACACTTTTAAGTCTCTAATTAAAGTAATTTTCTATATAAGAATGAATTTGATTTGTAACAATAATTAATAAATTTTAAGTTGCAGTATTCAATCCAAGTGTATTTAAAGATATTATTATGTTATCCTAAGAAAAAAATAATCAGGATTTGCTGTCTTTATAGGCCTTATCAGACTTTCTGATGTTTCAAGCCAAGCATGTGGATCATCAACAGGGCTAAAACTTAAAAAAATATTTTTTTTTCTGGTGTGGAGTAGGTCTATATAGGCAGTGAGCCAGTGAGGCAGTTGCAAATTTTAAGTAATGAGCTAGAATTCCCCAAGCCCGGATTCTAGAACAGCTCTGGCACATACACCCCCTATTAAGTGGGTATCATCAATTGGAGAAAAACCTGGCAGATAAATACTTCTTTGCCACAACCATTAGCCATAAAACAGTATTTCTTACGAAACATTGAACTCAAGACCATTCATACTTTGTATTGGTAGAAGGATTTTTTTTCCCCTAGGATACATTTCTTTATTTTAATCTTAATTGTATTTTAATTCAAAGATTATTTAAACATCTATGTTCAAATAAATTAAACCTTGGTTCAGTAACAATTACAGCTGAATCAATTAGTGAAACACAAATGAAATGTCAAATTTTTATTGCTGACTATAAATCACTAATATTATTAAATTTTTTAATTAGGCGGGTCGACCTCAGGGAAGACCACAAGGAAGACCACAACATCAACAACCAGCAAGAGATTATCAGCCACAACAGCAACAACAACAAACTCAGCAACGGGAATACCAACAACAATATCAACCACAGCAACTAAGGCCTCAGGAATTCCAAAGACCTCAGCAGCAGCAGCAGCAGCATTCTGGTGAAGAACAACTGCCATTCAACTTACCCCCTGGAGCAATTCCTGTCAGAAGCAGGCAAAGGAATTAATTTGTGAGAAGTTGATGTCTTATCACTGTAAAAATTAGAATAGATACCAGAGAGTACTATACGTGTAGATCTATCAAATTTGCTTTGATACTTATAAAAGCATCAAACAAACACATCAAAAGAAGACACACCGTATCCTTTTATTTATATAATTTACAATAAATATGTCTTAGTATAAGAAAACACAACCCAGACATTAAACATTTTGTAAATTCAATTAATGATATTCTTAGAGAGTTAGAGAAAGAAAGAAAGTATTTTTATAATGTATATGGTTAACTTCATACAGAGTTCATTCTATCAATAAAAATAAAAATTAAAAACCTGCCATCTTATAACATTGAACTTGTATCACTTTGATTCTTTTTTAAAATAATAGTATATGAAAACATTATAGTAGACCTAAAGATAAATCAAGCAATGTTGTGATTGATTGTGTTTCTATTTCTTATTACAAAGTGTTGATAAGACTGTGTGTGGAATCAATGTAAAGTACTAAGTTAATTTTAATTTGTAAAAGACTTTGTAATTTATAGGTTTAAGTTTATTTTATTATTTTTTTTTTTTACTAATCTTTTTGAGCATTAAACACTGTGTTTGCTTACAATTATCTCCCATTACCCTTAAATTATGTAAAATAAATTCCATTGTACATTCAAAATGAAACATTGCCAGAGAGTATTGGGAGTAGATATATATCAAAATTTCATAGATATAAGATTAATTTGTATTATGAAATAAAATTAAAATGAAAGCAATTTTTTTTTATTCACTAATCTTATTATCTGAAATCGTTAATACAGAATTTTTCTTCGCTATTACAGGACGGTATAGATAATCCGAAAACGTTGATTGTATGGCATGTTCGAATTATCAAAATGTGCGACTCATCACAGATTAAATTTAAAATGATGGAAAAACAGCACAATATAACAAAAATATATCTATTGTAACTTCAATATAAACAAATTTCAAATTAAAAAATTATTTCTTAAAATAATCATATAATGTACGTTGAGTCATAATATTGTAGTTTGTTGCTACAGAAAACGCCTGATTTCATGAATTTCATAAGAGTATTAGGCTTTGGCAGTCGACGTTGAATCCATTTGCCCACTTTAAGCAAAGATTAAATTCCTTTATGGCGTTTCTATAACTTACCTACAATGAAAAATAAAATGGATGTAAAAAAGTTTTCCAGTAAAATAAAAATCAATACAAAAAACGTTTTCCACACCTACTTCGGAAATTATCAACCTAATTTTTAATGGCATTAAAATCTTCTTAGTCATTCTTCTTAAAAAAATTATCAAAGAAAAACTTTGCCTTATCAACTGATATATCGTCGGAAATTGGATATCCTCATGACCTCTGCTACAAAAACCATATATGAAGAGATTCCTCAACTTCTGAATGACACCTAGTTTCTATTTAGAGACATTACGATATGATTTAGACACTTCCACACAAGCCAGTTTTTTTCCCATCTCTCACCAGTCAACTTTAATTTTTTTTCTTTCTTGTTTGTATCACCAAGGATTTCAGATTACTTGGGATACAGATTATCGAGACAGTCCAGTACTATTGAGCCTGCATCATATGTGAGAGAAACTATTTAAAAATTTCATTAAATTTTCCACAATATGAACATGAACTACATCTAGCTGTGTGCACAAGCAAAAACTGTTATATCTTCTTCGACAGATATTAACATTATTATTGCAATTAATAAATAAAAATATTGGTCAAATTGATAAGCATATTAATTGAGATTAATTTTTATAGATTTTTCTATAGTTTTAAATGTATAGAAAAAATGAGAAATTACCTGCTGAAGTTACATTTTCAATATCTTTAAAATATTAATTTGAGTTTGTATATAAATTTAAAAAAGGTATTATTATTTTTAATCTTGGCACTTGCAAATCAATTTTAATTTCCTTATTACTACAGAAAATAATTTTTACTGAGGTAAAAATAAAAAATGATCAACATTTTTAATACTTAAATAAATTAATAATACCCTTAAAAGAATAACTTTAAGGAGTTGTAGTTAGATAAATGATACACTTAAAAGAATTTCAAGTTCTTTCTACTGAATCAGTTGTTCTTGGGAATTAGACATATAAATTTTCACCATAAAGAATTCATCACATCATTAATTTAAACATTTTGACTAGAAATAAATATTTAAAGTAAATTTTACTTTAAGAAATTCAGTATTACTACACATTGATGGTTTGACATTTACAATGACAGTATTTACTACGGAGAAAATTTCCCAGTACATGAACATTGGATCCTAATTGTCTTAAATATTAGTGTGGTCAATGAAATGTAATAAGTTGTCCTTTTAGCTAACTGGTTCTACTTTGGCCTTACCCATCATTTCAAGAATCATGTTTAATAATTCATATTGTACTAGTCATCTTTAATAAACAATAATTATGGCAATGGCTCAGAAATTTGAGTAAATAAAAACCAGCAAATAACAATTACTGATGTTTGATTGGAAAATTCTCCATTGGAGTCATGAAAAAAGTTAAACAGGGAAGGAGATGATAAACTTCTACATAATAGGGAGTTGATAAGATAGCTCTTAGATATTTGAAAAGAAGAGAAACTGAAGGAGTCCCATACTGACAAGGAGAGGTTATGGGCGTAGGATCACCGATTTCAATGAAACCAATAGGTATACCTTATTTTATAGACAGCAAATTAAACAAAGGTTCTTTGTACTTAAAATGCAGATTTTTTTCCTGGCACTGTCTAAAAGATTATATTAGGAAAAGAAACAGAATTCACCAGAATTTTTAGCTTTTAAAACAAATTGCCTTTTTTAGGTGATAAAAGTAAAAAAAATATTAAACCTATGTACGAGAGTTCTTGAAAATGTCCCTAGGACCCCAAAAAAAAATATGACATATTTTAAATTTTTGATTTTTGTCTTTAATGTGCATAGATTTCTGTAACATATTTCAAACTTTATATGTTAAACAATTTTAAATGTACATATTCTTATTTTACAAAAAAAAAATCAATTGATATATCACAATTTAGAAACCTATGGACAGTAAAGAATAAAAGATTATAAAAAAATGTAACCTTCATCTGAGAGCCAAGCACTCTCAATAAACCTAAGTAACATCACCTCAATTGTTCAGAGCTTATCACAGAGTTTTATCCTAATAATAATAATAATGCATACTATATTATTAATAACTTGACAAAGTTCCATTAGTTATCCATAACCTTTATTTTTTTTGACAATTTAAATAACTGTTGAAACATTATAACAAAAAAAGTAAAAATAAGAATGATAGAACAGCCAGGGAATATTAAACGAAGTCTTGAAGACCAATTTAATATTTTTCCAGATATCCTTCACACCCTAGGCAAACAAAAGCAAAGCAGAGAAGTTTACCAGCCAATATCTTCCAGTAGGTCCCGTTTATGGTTAAAGTGTTAGGCAAATCCTGATAAGCACATGTATAAATCAATATTGGTGGAATGAAGCATCTACAATAAATAGTGGACAAAACAGTAATAGACATAATAAGAAATGAGACTACACAGGAGAATATGTATATCAAAGTATAGAGGTTAGACTACTCAAATGGTTTAACCATGTAAAAAAGATGTATATGATCTCTGCGAGCACTACAAAGCTTAACTAGAAGGTATATGACTTAAAGTCTAGCTAAGACTGAAGTACATCATGAGAACCAGGGTAACAAGAGAAAGTAGTCCCGCTGGAGATGAGAAAATTTACATCTGGAAAGCACCAATAGGCTAAATGACTGAAGACAGCACTATCTCAATATTTAGTACATTAAAGCAATGATGACATATCTATCATATGGATATGGAAAAATGAACACAGACATGGAGATTTAAATGATTTGGTAAAAATCAAAATAACAGAAGAAAGGTTTCCATGGTATGTAACATGGAGGCTTAGTACATATATGACTGACTCAATAATGAGAAGATAATTTTAAGAATAGCTCTTAAATAACGAAGAAGTACAGAATTGTATAAAGTTATAGTATACCCCAAAAATTTGTAGGAGAGATGTGAACTTTATAGCTTTTAATTAGTCTGAAAATATATTTTTTTTGTTCTTTGTCATGCAAAAATACATTTAATAGTAACGTTAAAGATTAACTCTATAATTTCTGCCTTCGTTTACTTACAGGCAACATAAAGTACTTGTAATAACATAACTCCTACAATTACAACAATAAAATAATAACATACAAACAAACACTTTTGAAAATGACCACAATAGTCTATGCATTCCTTGTCTAGAACAGCTATACAATAGAGTAAATAACTACTTTCTATCTACCAATCAACCCATTTATATAATGGAAAACAACAGTAACACCATTCAATTATCAAGTAAAATTAATTAATAATTGGATTTTAAATGATAGTAGTTATCCCTGTCTATCATTTTTTTTTTTTCTCGATACCCCTATCTCACCATTCCTGGTTTTCCATTTCTGGATACAGAGGGGGGCATTCTAGAGGTACAATCAAATCTGTTCTAACCAGAGTGGGAAAGTCAAGATTCATTCCTTGAGCAGCCACAAAATAAATTTTAACCCCCCAAGCCGGATTTGAACCAGCACCATTACACTCGAGAATGTTAAAGTTTATGCTTTAACATGTTCAGCCACCACGACCTCTATGACTGTATAGCAGTAACAGAAACAGTGTTATGATTTGTGTCAAATAACTATTGCTGTGTGATTCAACCTAATGGCAGTTTTAATTAAGTTGAAATTAATGAAGTTATTCAATGCTAAAGTTAATAGTTGAAATTAAAAAAGGACCAGAAGAAAAAAAAAACTTAAATTCCTCTACACCTCCATCTTTTTCAAACAATGGTTTTATTTTAGCAATAATACAAAACAGGGTTCTAGACATTGGTTCAAAAATCAATTCATCGTGGTAAACATATATACTATTTTTTTAATATAACATAAGTTAACAAAAGTAATAAGAAGCCCATATTCATTTTGACCAATTTCCATATGAAGCCACCCTAGTTAAATTTGTTACTCTACAATCATAAATTTCCTTTATAATGACTGAAAATCTTACAACTATTATTTCATTGGTCATAAAAGCTTGCAATACATAATAAGAAGACATGATTGCTGAGCACATTGAGATGAGGCTTCAAAAATGTCCTGTTCTGAAAATTTTGAGTTCGATCTCTACTTGGGTCAGCTAATGTTTACTTCTGAGTGGTCCTGAAAAATGAATCTTGACACTCCTTCTCTAGTCAATGGGTGGAATCAACTTCTAGGTAGCTATCAGGAATAAGGAAAAAGGACCAAAAGGCTAACTTGCTGGACTAGTCTCCTCTCTCTCCCTCTACACCAGTAACAGTACCAGTAATATAGGAAAAAGCTGCCGATATTGAGCAACCTTCAACATGTTCCTAATTTTCAACAAGTCATTTTGTAAAAGATTAATCTAAATTTGTAAAGAATGGTTTAAAAATTTGTTTTTTTTTAAACATAACACAAAATAATAAATTTTATCTTCAGCCATATTTGAAGAGGATTTAAAAACCGATCAAAGCCTACTTTTAGAGAATAGGTGGATTAACTGAACCATTAAAAAACCAACAAATCGGTAGTTATTAACTTTATGAAAATATATTCATAACCTTTATTTTAAAATAGTAAAAATTAGCATACATTTAAATTAAATTTTATTCTACAATTTATATAAGACTGCAGTCTGGACTTATTTCTCT